ATTGGCTTGTTTTACAACGTCGTTGCCAAGCGACGAAAACCCAACCCCGATGGCAAACACCGGGGGGGGCGGGGGGGGGTCATCAGCATTCTCATAACAAACATAATTTTTTCGAGACCACCTGATTGGATTTGAATAATCAGAACAAAAAGTCGGCGCCGACTACATCCCACGGTAACGCTCACACATTGGCAGTCGCAAGTACTGTAGACACTCGCTGAAAAAAAATGCACATTTTTTGGATTGACTACGCGACCATTTTCTTTGTGACCCTGGCTATCGCAGGACACACTCTTGATGACACAGCCGGTCTGTAAAAATAGAAATGCGATGCGATGTTGTGTCAACTCTGGCTGTGATTTGTTTTGGTTCGGATGTTGCTGTCATGTTTCGCACCCCCGCGTGCCTTTACCCCATGGTATCTACTGCTATCGACTATGTCAGCTTCCTGTAGTATATATTTCGTTTTAGAGGTGTGGGTGTTTCGCAGATGAGGGTTTGGATTAGCCGAATCTCCGATCTATCCCCTTGACCTTTTGGTTACCACAGTACAGTGCAGCCCCCTTTAATTCTGAACCTGCATCCACGACCACTCAGGGGGGGGCTAGTGTTATGAACATTGGAGATAACCGTGTGATGGTATGTGTTATCGTGGTTGTGCCGCATTTTCAGACGTTATGTTACGACGTCATGGCAATATTCAGGACTTGTCCCGAATGTTGTGCCCCCCTGTGTCAGTGCGCGACTAGGTCTGGTGTGTGTTGGACTATGGGCTGCATGGTGGATACGCAAGGCGTCAAGAACGCTAAAACAACAATGGCAACGAGGCAGCAACTGCCTCTGCATTTGTGGAACTACTAATAGTACGCCCGCAGAGAGATGCCCGGTGTTCCTGCGTTCCTTTCCTTTCGTATCGCCTTGCATGTGGTACACCATGCAGCCCAGAGTCCAACACACACCAGACCTGGTAATCGCGCACCGATACAGAAGGACATATGATTCGGAATAACTCCTGAATGTTGATACATGCCGTCATAACGTCTGACAACGCCAATGAACCATGGTAGCATAGATAGCATAGATAGCACACCGCCAAACGGCTACCTTAGGAATTGTTGCGATTCCCCAGAGCTGAGGATATATGAACCCACAGCTCAGGCAAACTACAAGGTTCTTCAGCGGCGACGGTATCCTCATGAATGACATGATCCCGCACCTACATGTGACCTATTTACACGCCAAGTGACGTTGTCGGACTAATTTTGACATTTATATGTGTAGACCACAAGGTCTGCGGTAGTTTTTTTTGTTGTTGTCGTCACTTCAATTCATCCCTCACGGCACTTTTTGTGCCGTTTACTCCAATTTTTAGGGAAGGGAACGGAAATTTTCTCCAATCCGGGGTCACACAGAAGGGTTCCTCTCCCTGCCACCCCCTGCCCACCCCTCCTGCGGTACTTTGCCGAACATGTTTATGCATACCATAGTCTAGGTGACATTAGATATCACGCCCCCTGAACCGATTTTCAAAGCTCACTTGCTCCACGGGGCACAGAGTGATGGTGCCGAAAATATGGCGGGGTGGGTACTGCTGCCTCGTCGAGAGCTTGCCAACATCGTCTCGCTTGATTCATTCATCCTTTTTGCTTTGTCGTGGCGTTGATTACTAAAGGTTGAAATAATATGGTAGATATCACACCCCCTGGACCGATTTACAAAGCTCGATTACCCCACGATGAAGAGGATGCCGAAACTGAAGTATGCGCTATCGGAAAGCTCTCGACGAGGCGGTTCCAACGCCGCCCTTTTTTCAGAACCGTCACTGCTGTTCCTGCCGACATATCGAGATATCGAGCTTCCCAAGTCGTTCCAAGGGGGTGTGGTATCTTACATCACGTAAATAGTTCACGGGGCCGCTCTCTCTTACGTGAATCGGCGTCGAAGAGGGCGGAGCCAAGGATATCCAGCACCTTGAAGAACTTGTCCGGGCGCAGGCGGTATCTCGGTCTGAACGTCCCGTCCCCGATGGCTATCCTCATGTGAGCGTCCCAGCGGTTCTTCACCGGGTGCTCGGAGTCCGGCTTCGGCGTGCTCTTCGCCGCAACGGCCTCGATGTCCGCAGCCTCCTGCTCCACCCACCATTGCGGCGGAGCCGGCATGTCTGCTGGCCAGGGAGGGGACTGAGGCGGGGCAGCGACGCTCTGGCGAGTGGCGTCGCCTTGTCTCTCTCCCTCCGCGGGAGAGGACAGGCAGGTGCTGTCGCGCTTTCGAGAGGTCGACATGATGATGGACGGATCTGTGGGCGCCATCCCCAACTGACCGACATACCCTCTCCCCAGCTGAAAAATGAAAAAAGAAAAAATCGTTTTTTTCTTTATAGGCTGACTCTTGTGGCTGAGACTGACTCTTATGGCTCCCGGAAGTTGGCCCGACGGAAAAAAAAAATTCGTTGCGAAATTCCGGGCGGATAATCCGTTGGAAGTGATATTATGGTCCAACGGATTATTTCATCTGGTTTTCGA